AGGACTGGGGTTGGCATCAGGTTCACTCCTGGTGGTGTTCTAGTGTGACAAGGGTGTGCGCTGCCAGGTAGGCACCCCTGGATCAGGCAGTAGGCTGTGAAGTGTGTGGCTCACAGTACCGGGCTGGATTCCGTTCCCAGTCCAAGTTGCCTGTCCAGCTCCCTGGCTGTGCACGAGATCGTGCAAGATTTGACCTCGGATTTTTCTGGGGTTCCCTTTCTCATGGGATTGTTACGGAGTCTAGACGGGAGTGCTTTTAAGTCAACCCAGCATGTTGCCTTTTTTGTTTTTAATTTTTAAAATATTTTTTTTACATCCTGTCTGTACTTCCCCCTTCCCCCTCTCCTGTCCCCAGTGTCATGTGCCCCCTCCCCCCATTTCTGTTCAGGAAAGGGCAGGTCTCCCATGGATAGCAACAAAGCATGGCTTATCAAGTTGCAGTGAGACTAAGCACCTACCCCGTGTATTAAGGTGACCCACAATGAGGAGTAGGGTCCCAAAGTTGTCTTTTTGAGGCAGCAGAACTGCCATGGTCAGGGATTACACACCCAGGCTGCATATACATGGAATATTTTTCATGGCTCTTTGTTGTTTTCCATTTTGGTTTTAATAAAATCCCAATATTAATTTTCCAATGAACTATATAACTTATTTGGCAGTCCTTGTGATTTTTCAAATGCTTGCCCAACATAGTAGCCCTGACTTCATCTTTGGGCCTGCTCAGTGTCTCAGAGAAAGCCTGACCACTATTCTTCTCTCTTTGTCTCTGGCTGTGGGTGTGTGTGTGTGTGTGTGTGTGTGCGCACGCGCGTGTGCATACGTGTGCAGTATGTGTACAAAGGCCAGAGGAGAATGATGTATCCTTCTCTGTCACCCTCTGTTTTACTCCCTTGTGACTGGGTATCTTTTGAACTTGAAGCCAGACAGGCAGCCTTTGAGTCCTTGGGACCCTCCTGTCTCTGTCTTCTGAGGTGCTGGCATTACAGGTGCATGTTCAGCCCCACTCAACTTTTATGTGGGTGTCAGGATTTGAAGTCAGTTCCTGTAGCTTGCAGAGCAATTCCTCTTAGGTGCTGAGCTGTCTCCCTTCTCTGTTCAGGGAGGTCTTCTGTTGAGTATTTCCCTGATAACCACTTGGGGAGCTAGGGAGCTGCGGAGGTTTCCATCCTTGGGTCTTAAGTGGCTGTGTCCTCTGGGTGGAGATTTGGTTGGAGACTTGTGACCACAGGTTGTAGGCCAGAGCCTTGATTCCTTAGCTCCTCAGGTCACATGGCTGGAGGCGGGTGGTACCCAGAAGAACGCCCTGCCAAGGGGTAGTACAATATCTAGAGAACAGGCCCCTTATGTCCTGATGTTCTGAGCCTTGTATGCCCTCTCCCTGTCTCCCACAACTGTGCCTCCCTGGGGCAATGGTTAGGGCCAAGAGCCTGAGGCTAGGAACAAGACCACTTCCTACATTGTGTCTTTTTTTTTCATGCCCCACTCCCCACACCTTTAAGACCCGTCTCATTTGGTTTCCCTGGCTAGTTTGGAACTCTAATGAAGATCAGGCCAGCCTTGAACTTGGAACTCTCTCTAATGAAGACAGGTCTGCCATCTTCTGCTTCTGGAGTGCTGGGATTTAGTACATGCACCACCATACCCAATTCCTCTCTTATTTATAATGCTTTTCAATGCTGAATTTACTTTGTTGTTGTATAAAAGTTTAAAAATCACGTGTAGGTGTGTATGTATGTCTGCATGTGTAGCTAGAGCTACGAATGGTTCTGAACCGCCTGTTGCTGGTGCTGGGAATCGGACTCAGTCCTCTGGAAGAGCAGCGAGTGATCGTTACTCCTGAGCCACCTCTCCAGCCACTGTCCTTTGGTGGGAGGCGCGGGTGGTCTTGCATACATCAGGCTGGCCTAGAAAGCAAGTGATCTTTCTCCCTCTGTCTGCCCCCCCAAGTGCTAGACTTGGCAGCTATAGTAAAAAACTCCCAGCAACATGGTTTTATGTAGGTAGGAGATTCTACATTAAAGGTGGTAGGTATTGGTACTAGGATCTGATGTGTTAGCCTAATTAACCTTATCAGTAAAACATCAGGAGTCAGACTGGGCAGTGGTGGCTCACTCCTTTAATCTCAGCACTTGGGAGGCTGAGGCAGGAGGGTCTCTTCGAGTTCAAGGCCAGTCAGGTTTACAGGGCAAATTCCAGGACAGGCTACAAAGCTACAGAGAAACCTTGTCTTGAAAAACCAGAAAGCAGGAGTCAGGTATTGGGTAAGAACCCGAAATATCAGAGGAGCAGGGAGCAGCCACAGTCACCTACTACCTCTACCATTCCTCAGTTCAAAGGGGTTGAGATCTTCTGTCTGCCTTGCCTTACTATTTCCTGTCTCCTCTCTGTCTACAGTCCTCCAAACCACTATGGTTAATTTAGGTCAGCTAGTGGCTAGCTCTCTGCCCTCTGACTCCAAGCAAGCTTTATTAGAGCACAATCAAAATATTACATATTTCCCCCTTTTGTTTAAATAAAAGGGGAGGTTTTAACTAACATAGTACAGCTGTATGCAATAAACACAATAGCTGTAAACAAATATGTACAGGTAAGAATTATTAACAATGTCAAGCCCAATTGCATTTCACAAATTCAGAGAAAATATTCCATTATCTATCCTATCTTGGTGAGTCCAAAGTGTTGTATCTAATTCACTTGCTATCCTAACATGTATTACCAACCCCAAACTATTTTTTTATGTCTCCCAACCTTATACCCTTTACACCTCTTTTGTGAGTATCTTTCTGAATTCCGTAACAAGGAAATCTATAACTACCTAGTCTTCAAATCCATCAGAGACCTGACAAGGATATATTACCTGAGTTAACAGGAAGTACAGTGCAAACAACTTCCAAAACTAAGAAAGGACAGAAACAGGTGGCTTCCTGGACAGTCACTCAAGGTTCCTCTGTAATGTTGGAGCATCCATCTTTGGCCTACAGGACTAGCATTATCTGACAGACTTACCTGTGCAGCAGGATTTTTGAAGGACTGTCCTACCTTGTCTTGGCAAAACTCAGCAGTCACCTTTTGTGTGTATCCTGCTTGTTCAGTTGGACAAGATACTGTCAGCAGTCAAGGCAAGGGCACTTTATTGCCCAGTGGCCAGCTTTTACCACATGTGGAGTTTCTTTGATGCCCTTCATCTTCTCTGAAGTAGATTGGTGCTGCCAAGAGCAGGCATGTCTCATTGTCATAAAAAAAAACAAAACATTTTGTTATTAAAACATCTTAAAAGCCATATTCTGTAGATCTCTATATAAAATATAATAATCTCAAATTCATATCAATATATAAAAATCCATACCAGTGTAAAATATTTAAGACTGGTAGTTGCTATTTTGGTTTAAAAATAGATTCAACAATCTACCCTTTTATCCTGTTTCTATATCCCTCCTTTTTTCTTTTCAGAGCAAGATCCCTGAAATCCAATCTCCTTGCCAATTGTAGCTTGTAACCTACCTCCTTAAATGATGACAGAAACCCATAATCCACCGAATGACCCTTGGGAATGTAGTCATTGTGTTTGTAAAACTACTTCCTGTTGTCTGGGGTGTGTGTGCATTTTTCGAGGACCCTTAAAAAATGTGGACAATGGCCAAGTCCTGGGCGAGTTCGCTGTGCTGTCATGGTACAGGTCTGATCTCAAGTCCTGGCTAGAGTAGTTTGTGAGGATGAACCATCTCAGCTAGCTACCTTGAGCAGTTTGTAGCTCAAAGTTGATCTTTGGATGGTGTTTGTCAGCTTTGTGGCGTTACCACAGTTGTGGGCCCCATCATCCTTTTGGAGACTTCAAAGGTCATTGTTAGGCACGGTTCACTACAGAAAACTTAACATTTTAAATATCACACACAGCAGATTTCGAAGAGGTTAAAGGACCATAATTTGTTGTGTACATCCAGAGTACAAAACCTTAATTCCTAGCTACCTGATAGAGACTCAAACCCGAAATCATGAACAGGAAGCTAGATGAAGCCTTTTTTGCTAGAATTAGCTAGTGCCCTATATGACCATTAATACCATGACAAAAATTGGAAATATTGTTAATCTTATAAATTTTGAAATAATATTTATACCTTAAGAAAAATTTTAAAGAGTCAAAATAAAACCAAAGAATTATGAGATAAGTGGCAACAGACTGGTCCCTATTTCTTGTTTTTCTTCAGTTCTGCATCAGGTGGTTCCTTTAACAAGTGTGCTTGGCTTCAGAGGAGGAGAGACCAACATTCCAGCTCCAAAGCCAGATTCATTTTTTAATTGAATGGGGACTACAAAAAGACCATTTGCATTATGTGTCTCTGTAGACGACAGCAGAAACAAACATTTGGGAGGATTTATGAAATTTTATCTTATTGGAAATATGACATACCAATAGGCCAATTTAGTCTCTTTCCTGGGGCATTTTCTTGGATGATTTGTCCTTTTTCTTCAGACGTCTCTCTTATTTGTCGAGTGGTCTGGGGAGGCATTTTCCCCATGGTGACGGGGAATGATTGAACCAAATTTGACATGGGGCTGCAAGGGGTCCCTCCTGCAAGGTGCTTCCTGGTGGTAAAGGTTTGCCTTGTCTGCCTCTTGCTCATCTACATTCATTGGTCCAATGTCTGCCTTTGCCATGCCTTCTTCGTACTCTAGAAGGCGGGGTCTTTGGTTTGTTTTATTCCTAGAAAAAGCATTGTTTCTAGGAATGCCCTGCCTACAGTTCCTTTTTAGATGACATGTTTACCACAGTTGAAATCCTGCCATTTTGATTTTTCTTCAACCTTTGGAAATCACCCCTCCTACCCAAGCATCATCGTGGTTATGAGACTCAATGTTGACTGTCTCTGGGGTCCATTCCTCCAGCATTTTCAAAAGCTAGAGATTCAGTTGTTATCAGTCTGGCTTCTGGATTTGGTATCATTCTATTTACTGATGAAGTCCATCTTTGTAAGAAACCACTGAGGTTTCTTTGGGGCCCCCCATGACTTTAGTAAATGACTTGGTTCTCTGTGCAGCAAGCATTCAAAGCTCGGTGTGGAGCTGAGTTTATGGAAGCAGAGGAGACAGCCTGGGTGTGTTTAAAGGGCTCAGGCACAGAGCAGCTGCCGGCAGGATTGGACCTCACCTTGCCTGTGATAGATAGAAAGGACATTAGCCTCCATCAGACTGGCCTTCAGGTGAGTCCATAAGACATTAGTCTCCATCAGACTGCCCTGCAGGGGAGTCCACAGGACATTGGCCTCCATCAGACTAGCCTGCAGGGGAGTCCACAGGACATTAGCCTCCATCAGACTGGCCTGCAGAGAGTCCACAGGACATTAGCCTCCATCAGACTGGCCTGAAGACAAGTCCATAGGACATCATTGTCTTGATTAGTGATTGATGTGGGAGGGCCCAGCCCACTGTGGGCGATGCCACCCTGGGGGTTTCTTATTTAAATCACAACGCTGGGTATGGGCTGAGCTGAAACTGTGGGTGAGTCTAGAGACTGCAAGGTGAGAATTGAGCTGCCAGACTCCGCCCCCCTCCCTGCCGGTAGTCACAGCGCCCTTTCCAAAGATGTCCCTGGAGCTGGGCTGAAAGCTCTGTGAGTGTTTTCCTGGTGTGGACTGCCTGTGTTGGCCTGCTGTGTGCTCTTTGACCCTACCCTGCAATCTTAAGAGCAGAACCTCATGGTGATGCTGTGTTCACCCCCAACCCCCAAAGGTTCAGATCCAGTTGTCCAGCTGAGATACAAAGGCATTTAAAGACTGCCTTTGGCAGCCCAGGTGAAGAACCTCTACCTAGCAGGGAGACTGCTCTGTGAGGTCACCTCTGTTCCAGAGTGGATAGTCCCCACAAGCCCGTGTGAGTGTCCTGTGGCTGTCGGGTTTCAGTTCACTTCTGACTGAGCTAGAGAACTGTGTAGGAGGCGGGAGGTACTGGGGATGGGGGTGGTGATGTCCACCTGAACCCACTCATGCATAGCATCTTTGAGGATGAGAGTCCCAGTAGAAGGAACCACATGAACCTACTTGCTAGCAAGAGCCCCTGTGGCCTGGCTCAGGGAGGGTGATTGTAGACTCCTTATCAAGGGCAGTCAGGAGCATGAAGTCCTCTGTTCATGTTGTTTCTGGGGCACTCTGCTCCACTGGACCCAGGGACTCATTTGAGGAGTCCCTGGAAAGTGTGACTGTCCCCATAGTTGGACTCTTGCCAAAGGTGAAGCTTCCTAGGGCAGCCAGGAGGCTGTTAGATCTGTATGTTTGTGGCAGAAGTTTTGTCTAGAAAACTCCCTATAAAAGGACTCGTGGCTTTTATTAGGTCTTTTTGATTTACAAGATTTGTGTTGACTCTTTGTGTGTATATATGTCTTGAGTTTATGAAAAAGACAGCTTGTGGGGGAACTATGATTGAACTTTAACCTTGGCAGGGTGAGGGACCTTCTGGGTGATAGATTCCACTTGTGCAAACTGCCAGGACTACTTTCCCCACAGAGCGCTTCCAGATTAATGTGCAGCTCAACCCAGGAATTTCTTTTGCTTGCCAATTAGCTTGAAGATTTGTTACCCATGAGAAAAATACTTGTAATAAAAATTTGAAAAGTACACGGGGAAGCCCTACCTTGAAAAACCAAATCCACGCAGTGCGTGTGGCATGCGTGTGCATATCGTGTTGTCCCCCTCTTATTGAGCGTTGCGGCCAGTGCTTTTGGAGGTTCCGAAACGTCCAGAGGCCTGAGTGCTGATTGATGAGAAGCTCACTGTTGCCCTGGAGTTTGCTGGGATCCACACTGTCTTTGGAGATGGCAGCACGAGCCCACATCTTCCAGGTGACTGAGAAGTTAGAAGCTTGCTGAATCTGTCTCCAGGGGTAATATCTAACCACAGTGCACTGTGGGAACCAGGACATCAACGGTGGTCCTATTGTTCAGGCCTAACTTTCACTGGTGTCTGCATGCGCTTTGGGTTGCGTGTGTTCTGTGAAGGCTCATCATGTGTAGACTGGAGTGCACATCACCCATCCAGGCTAAAGAACACTCACTGCCGCAGAGGTTCATCTCCTGCCCGGTCTCAGTCTCATCGCCCCCTACGCCAGCAGGCGTGACTCCAGTTTCCTTCTCTTGTCACCTTGAAGATTTTCTACAAATGAATTGTATGTGACTGCTGGTACCGCGTGCAGTGTCGAATTGGGTGGTAAGAGGGTGAGTGGCAGGGTTAGAATGGAGTCCAGGGTTCCGGTTCCCAGGCTGTAACTTCAGCCTTCACTTGCATCAGTCAACAAAGGAAACAAACCGTGATCTTAGGAACACGGTCATTGGGCGTAGGCTGGTCTTAGAAGTAGCTTGCTTGGAGGAGGCTGCTGGGAAGATGGAGGAGGTTTGGGAGACGTTTTAGAAGAGTGGTGGACATAGCTTTGGATGTAGAGGGGGTTAGGGATTGGGGAAAGGGTTTCTGTGGTTTAGCAGCTTGGGGAGGGAGAGCTGGGCACACGGAAAGACCGAATTTATGATGAGAAACAAGCTAGGCTAGCACCGGGGTCTGCTGGTGTTAGGACTGGGCCAGACTGGATCAGTTGCTTCTAGTTAGGGTGAAGGGCAGGGAATCTGTGACCAAGTTCACCTTCAGGAGGAGGCAGCACTATGGCTGAGGGATGCTTGCCAGGTTCAGACAGTTGCCATGCCCGCTAAAAACTCACTTCCCTGGGCCAGAGCAGTGAAGCATTGTGTTGTGACACAGACCAGGCGTTGAAACAGCAGACCTAGACAGGCTTTTGTTTTCATGGAGAAATGAGGCGTCAGTTAGCTTCAGCTGTGGAGGGAGTGTGCTTACACCGAACAGACTGGTGCTCTTGGAGCTGGGCAACCCCGAGGGTAGGTGAGGGCTGCGACTGTCACTGCCAGAAAGGTTTGAGAGGCAATGGTGATAGTGATTTCCATTTAAAATGTAAAGAACGCAGGTCATCAGAGAGCTATTTAGTGAGTTCTCTCAAGGGATCTGAAGTATAGTAAGCGCTGTAGAACCCTGGGCCCAGTAGGGAAAGCCCCTTCTTTCTGTAACTTGGAAGAGTGTGGTAGGACGCTGCATTTTCTCCTCAGAGGCCTCAGAAGCCCTAGGTGGCTGGCTGGTGTTGCCCTCCCACAAGTGTCCACTGAGAGGTCAGGTTCTGCTTCCTATTTGTGTGTGTGTGTGGGGGGGTACAGAGACACACAGAACAGAAATACCCATTGCTAGCTTTCCCAGAGAGCATACGATGGTCTTTTTCATTTATTTGAAACCCAGTTACCTTCCTGGGTCGCAGTTCAGGTGCTCCTGGGCTTACATGAACAAATTGAAATTGGGCCCTGTTGAGAATGTAGTTAGAATCCATCTCACCTCCAGGGCACCATAGTCGAGCAGCAGGGTCTTCCCTAGAGTACCGGCTGTTTGCCATTGGGATCAGAGAGTGACTGCCAGCTGTGCTCTGTACTCCAAGACAGGATGCCATGACATGTGCTAGCTGCCAGGACCTTGCACATGCCAGGTGCGTGTTGAACCACGTCCGCATCCCAGCAGGCCATTTCCATTACATACTTGGCAAGTGGAAGTGAGTCTGACATGGGCTCTCATGTTTGGGATCGCCTGAGCTAGCCCATTTGCCATCGCCAAGCACTCTTCAGGCTTATGAAGAAGAGGCAACCCCTTACGTGTAGAAAATCTAGTTCATGCAACTTTGTTTTTGTAATTTTTATTAACATTCTTTTGGGGTTTGTGGTGGTTTGAATATTTGAATATTTGAATGTTTGGCTTCCGGTTGATAGACTGACTGTTCATGAAGGATTAGGAGTTGTGTTCTTATTGGAGAAGGTGAGTCACTGGGACCCTGGTGGGCTTTCAGGTTTCAAAAGCCCGTGTGAGGGCCAGTCTCCCTCTCGCTGCCTTCAGCTTTGCAGTAAGATCTGAGGTCTCAGCTCCAGGGTCACGCTCTCTGCTGTGATGATCAGGGACTAACCCAGTGAAACTGTAAGCCAGCCCCCAGTAGATGCCTTCCTTTATAAGTTGTCTTGTCATGATGTCTCTTTACAGCTGTAAAACAGCAACCAAGGCAGGCTTATTACCATCGTGTTGTGATGGAGGCTTGTAACTTTTCACAGTGAGATGTCCGGAAATTCAGAGTGGCTGAAACAGGAAAAGGTTCCGCTGTGTGTGCAAAAAGCAGAGTTCAGAATAAGGGAGATATGGTTATGGGTGGCAAACATTGTGTGGGAATTGGCCACTTAGTTTTTCTTCAAGACTCATTTAGAGAGGGGCCTTAGAAGTCCATAGCGGTGCAGGCCTTCCCCTCGGAAGTCCATAGCGGTGCAGGCCTTCCCCTCGGAAGTCCATAGCGGTGCAGGCCTTTCCCTTAAAGTCTGTAAAGTGCAGGTCTTCCCCTTAAAGTCCATAGCGGTGCAGGTCTTTGCCTTGGAAGTCCATAGCGGTGAAGGCCTTCCCCTTGGAAGTCCATAGCAGTACGGGTCTTTCCCTTGGAAGTCCATAGCAGTGCAGTCTTTGTTGGTGCCTGTTAGGCCTTAGCAGAGCACTGTGGTGTGTTGGACACATGTTCTGTGTACTTGGCTCTCTAGGGAGACCCCAGCTTTAGGTAACCGTTCTCTAAACCCAGTGAAGAACTTCTGTGGAGGGGTTGACTTGTGGTTCTTCTAAGTCTTAAGCAGACTTCTCAGGGTCCGAGATGCTGGGCATTGTTGGTGGAAAGGTTTGTCATATTTTCAGAGCCCAGACTTAAGCACGGGCTTTGGATCTGGAGCACTGGATTTGCTGTTTGTTTTGGTGAGTTATTAAGGTTCTGACCTTTATATGATTAAGTATAATAAATGAATCGAGCTTTTCTGAATCTTGTTCCAGATTAAAAAGAAACAAGGTTTGATTATGTATGAAGGTCAAGAAGTTAGACTGAAAGTTGGCCACAGAGGGCCTGGTTTGTCATGGTGAAAAGGATGGGGAACGTTGATGATAAAACCACCAAAGCAGGCAAGGCAGGGGCCCCCTCCCTCAGTTTGCACTTGACTCCTGAGCCCCTAGATTTCTTAAGTAGCTGGTAAAGCTTTTTGTGATTAGAGAAATCAGTATTTTAGTGTCACCATCCATTTTTAGTTACTTTCACTGATGATAGCAGATTTGCTTAAATACAGGCATTTCTGTCATTCCACAGTCTGGGA